CAGGAATGCAGGTGGAGAGGGCTGAGGGGGGCTCCTTACCCAGGACACCACCCGGCCATTGAAGCAGGGCAACTTGGCATTGTCGTCCGAGATCTCCTCCTTCACCACTCTGCGGGGAAAGGTGGGTGTCAGAGCGAGCTTTCTGAGGTGGAATCGGAGGCATCCTCACAACCCCAACTCTCAGGGGCTCCTCTACCCCAAACTGGGAATCAAATCACCAGCATAAGCCTGTTCAAATGGGAGCAGGGATGGGTTGACCAGGGACAGCTCTTTGTCACCACCAGGAAGACACTAGCCATGCCCAGGCCAGCTGCCTTCCTGGGGCATCCTCTTGGTCATCAGGTGATTGCAAATTACACCTCACAAATCACTGTCCCCAATGAGTGCAGTAGCCCCCTAGAATCTCGAGAGGTGTACCCATCCCCAACAATGGCTCTCCTGGGCTGGACTTTTATCTTTCCCTCTGACCCTAAACTAGGAAAAAGCACACCCATATCACTGTTCTTCCCTTCTCATTTGGAAATCCTAATATTCTTCTGGGAAATGTGGATGAGGAATTTAAGGAAATTAGGAAAGAGAAGGGGAGAAGGCATTTACCAAACATCCTCTACTGCCACTATGACATTAGTAACAACTGCTCTCATATATTGAGCGTGTATTGGGTTGGCCAAAAAGTGCATTCGGATTTTTCTGTAACACCTTATGGAAAAACCCCAAGGAACTTTTTGGCCAACCCAATATTATGGGCCAAGCACAAAGCTAAGTACTTTACTTGTATCACTTCGTTTAACATTCATAGCAATGTTATAAAATACATACAGATGGGGAAACCAAGGCTCAGTAGGTTCAGAAATTTACCTACAGTCACACAATTAATAAGTGAAGAGATGGAATTTGAATCCTGGTCAGCCTGATTCCAAAGCCTTTATTCTCACCTATTATACCATCTTATCTCCCTATAGTTAGAATGCATAATCTTCACATCAGCCTCATTGTATAGACCATATGATCCTGATTTTATGAATAAGGAAACTGAGAAACAATCAGTAACTTGTTCAAGGTCACAGAGCTAGACGTCAGAGCTGGAATTCCACCCCAAGCTCGTCTGACTCCAAACCCCATATTCTTTCCATGGTATTTCACATTCTTTCCCGTACAGTGTGAGAGGTGATGTGGGTCTGTGTGGAGGGTGACGGTGTGGGAGACAGTGATGTGGGACATGGGGTGGCAGATGGGGGGAGGGTAGGATGTAGTCTCAGGCATGTAGTTTGGCCTGGGGCATGCAATGAGGCAAGAAGTCAGACCACAACTAAAATATGGGGCCAGGAAAGGAGATAGAAAAGCTTGAGGCCTGCACCCCCAGACTGATCAAATACCCCAGGAGCACAGAGCTAGAAAGCTGTGATCAGGGGCAAGAAGAAGCCACATGCCTGGAGTTATGAGCAGAGAGGGAAGACAGCAAGGGAGGCTGGGAAGCCCAGTCCTCCCTTTTTCTTAAAGCAGCTCCTGCCCAGAGCTTGGGACGTGCTTGGCTTCTTGTGATGCTCACATTCTTGGACTCACAGCCAAGTTCGAAGGCTGAGACTGCCCTCCTCCCTCCCCTTCAGCTTTGGCTCCTCCACTGTTTCCAACCCCACAGCAACCCCAGGAAAGCAGCTCAAATCATCCTGCTCAGGCCCACCATGGCAGAAAGCCTGGAGACAGAACAAGCTAGAAAATAGGGACACAGAGATAGCTCAGACCCACCAGCCAGTCTGACCACAGGGCACCCCAAGCTTGCAGCCCCCATGGGAACTGGGGCTCAAATTAAAAAGGAGGTATGTTGGTCACGTGGCAGGGACTGTGATCTGCTTTGTAGAGGGTCTCAGCAGCCCTGTGGTGGGAAACTGCTGCTGAGGCCCCACCACACAGCTCAGCACTACAGATGTTTCCTCTCTTTCTGGGGGTCACCGACAGGTCACCAAGGCTCTGCTGACTCACAATGATCAGCTGATCTTCAGGAGCCTTGGGGGACCTCAGACAGGCCTCCCCTTCCTGCTGTGGAGCTGAATGGCTCAGGGTTCTGCAGCATTTATGCACTCACATACACACACACACCCCAAGTGGAGTCGGACAAATCTGGGTTCAAATTCCAATTCTGCTACTTATTAGCCCTCCTATCTTAGAGAGGTTTCTTGACTTTTCCAAGCTTTTGTCTCATCCTGGTAAGTGAGATTTGTAAGTACCTGGCATGGTCCAGGCATACACTAAAAACTAGTTACTAACTTTGTCAATTTTTTGCGGGATCCATACTCTCTAACTAGATGTAAGTTTCGAAGGGCAGGGACCAAATAAATCTGCTTATCACTCATTGTTCATTCAATTAAAAAGCCTTTGCCAAGAGCCCAGTGGGCTTTAAGTTTTGTGCTTGCCATTGCATGGATCTCAAGAAGCATCAGACCTGGAGCCTGTCTTGTCCTTGGAGGTTACTGTCCAATGCGTAGTTCACATGAGTATATCGCAAGTGGGAAGTGATCAGAGCTGTAAGAGCAGCAGATGTGTTCACTGGACAGACATCTACTGAGTATTATTTAGTGTTAGGTCCTGGCTAGGAGCTGGGTAGGTAGAAGGATAAATAGGAATAAGTGCCATAACTTTAAAAGTGCAACCCAGTGGAAAGGAGAATTTGGACCTGGAGAAGACAAGGGAAAAGAAGTACTCCAGGTAGAAGGCCCAGAGACAGGCTAGTGTGTGACATGGAGCGGGGAGCAAATCAGTTAGTGGCCTGACTTCCCATGTTATTCCTCCCATGGCTCAAGGCCCCTCAAATGGTGGTACCTTGTTCTTCCATCCACTATCTCCTCAGTGCTGAAAATGTTTAATTCTTCTTCTATATCCCAAATAATTTAAGAGGGCTGGACCTACCCTGAGCTTGACAAATACTTCTGGAGACCAGATGGGAGTTGGGAATCCTCAAGTCTTACACACCAGAACCCCAGAGGGAGAGCCTGGAAAGCTGGAGGAGATGGCAGCCTTCCTCCTCTGACCCACTTTCCCATCTGTCAGCAGAGGTTGCTGGCCCCTGCCAGACCTCCCTCTCATGGGGCTGGGATAAGGGGCAGCCCTATCACCTATACAGTTTGCCAAGCCTCAGCATCTCCCTCAGAGAGGATGTACCTGTTAAATGATGATGATAATACCTACAATTGTGTGATTAATGCCTTAGACTTTGGAACCAGGTTCCTAATAAGCTCTGCCACTTATTAGCTGTGTGACCTTGGGTAAGTAAGTTACTTAAGTTTTCTGTGCTCTAGTTTCCTCATCTATAAACTGGAGATATTACTACCTATTCCACAGGACTGTAAAGAACACTGAATGACTAAAGATTTGAAAGTCATTTAGATCAGTGTCTGCACACTGTAAGCACCATAAAAAGAGTTTGATAAATAAATGAAATACATATACAAATATATATTCCTCAGCTGTTAGTCCTCTGTGACAAGACGGCCCTACCAGGTCTCCTGATCATTAATCCTTCTAGGAATAAACACAAAATCAATCTCCTCCACTTCATTTTTACCATAGTTCGCAACCCTGCTAAAATGGCCTACTCTAATATTTGGCAAAAGATGGTTCAATTTCCAGTACCACTGATGAATGCAAGATGGCTTCAGGTGTATCTGAATGAATGTTTAATTCGAGAGTTAAACATTTATTTTTAACATATTTTAGAAAGAAATATAAATAGAATGTCAGACCTGTGGTTTCACATTATTGACTAGGTCAAACTAAGAAGGCATGAGTGAGCTGACAGTGGATTTAAAGAACAATATTAAGTCAACAGTAAGCAGATATAATGGGGGTTAGGCCTGGCTTGACAGCAGCCCGGGGAGAGTGGGAGGCAGCCCACAGAGGTCTAGGTTTAGGAGGTGGGGGCTAGGCCCAGTGGACTCTGGGATGAGTGGGCAGTGGAGACACAGGTCTAACCCAGTCCCTCAAGGCACCTGACCCCAGGGTGTCCCCAGCGTACTGAAATGCAGCTGATTTTCCCCTATCCCATACGCTGAGGCAATATCTTGGTCTCTTCTAACTCCATTCTTCCTTTATCAGACCAAGGCATCTGCCCACCTCACTCCCACCCCTTGCAGATGGATCCCTCTTCAGCATCTTCCAATCAGGGGTCTCTGTCTCTGGACTGAAGCCAGACAATCATTACTACACTAGGAGTACCCAACCCCAAGGCAGGAACAACAACAGAAACAAGAATAGAAGCCGCATAGCACTTCCCACTGTACAAAGCACTTTCACACATATGAGCTCTTGGGCTCAACAAACCCTGAGTTCCAAGGGGAAATATGACAGCAAAATATGCAGAAGACAGAAAAGGTGCTAGTGTCCCAGAGCCAGGAGGGCCGGGGTCCTTGGAGAGAAGCCAGGCTGATGAACATGGGGGAGAAGAATTTCTCCCCTTACTCAGCTCTGGGCCTCTGCTCTAAAGAGCAGCATAGGCCTCAGGCTAGGCTGGAGAGGCGGCCTTTAGGCCGGGAGGGTCCGGGAAGGCCTTCCCCGCAGGCCTCCAGGCCCAGTGCCCAGTTAGTGAGGGGCAGGCTAGTGTGGGGGGCCTCCCCCTCCTCCAGTCCCCTGGGAGTTGGGGGGGGCGGTGAGGGGATCCACCAGGCTCCCCCTCCCAGGCCAGCTGCTACAGAACCTTCCGGCTCCAACATTCCATCCCCTCTTAAAGGGGAAGTCACTGCTTCCAAAACTCCGCCCGTCCAAAGCCCTGCAGCTGGGTGCATAAGACCCCTCCAGAGAGGGGAGGATGAACACCAAGAGACCCTTCCTGGCCCTCCCATTAAGAGGCCCCAGTTCTGTGAGGGACTCCGCACCTGGGCTAGTGGGGAATCCTCCTCAGGGGTGAGGTGCTCTGCTCCCTGACAACATCCCGAACAGCCCACAAGGGACAGGGGAGACAGCTAAGTAAACATCAGAGCTGCAGGCCTTAGCTTACAGCTTGAGCACCCCCTAGCCAGTGCAAAGTCCCACAGCATAGCCCTTAGATGCTCCATATTCCAAATATGGCTCTGAGTTGTGGAGCTGAAAAGATGGAGAAGGCGAAGGCCGAGTGCCGAACACCCCAAATCTCTGCTGGAAAGGTGGCTCTGTTGGCAGGAGGAGGGTTGGGAACTGTGCTCTGGAACGGGTGGAGGCGGGGAAGGTGTGTCTGTGTGGGCCGCTGGTCTCTGAGGAGATGAGGGGGCTTGACTGCGCTGGAGCTGACTGCTCTTAGGGAGTTGGACGTCCCCTTAAACGACGGGACCAAGGTCCCCCACAAGAGGGGAAAGGAGAGTCCCTAGAGGGGCTGGAACTCCAGCCTCTGAAAAAGCCAGTGGGGACCAAATGGCCGAGTCGCCCCTAGAATCCAGAGTAGGGGTAGAAGCCAGTGTAGCAAGGGGAGTCCGAACTGGCCGAGTGGGCCCCTAGAAGCCGGAGGGGCCGGGGTCCCCCGGAGGCGAGGCGGGGCCATCCTCACCCGAAATCGTCGTCCATAGATTTGAAGAAGAACTTATAGCTGGGTCGCTGCAGAACGCCCTTAAAGTCCGCCAAGGTGACGCGCTCGGCGGGCAGGGGCAGCTTCACCAGGTACGGCGTCTCCTGCCCGTCCAGGTGGTAGATGATCTTGGTCTCGCCCATGGCTCCGGCCTCGGGCCCGCCGGCCCGCGCGCTGCCTGCTCGGGCGGCGGGGCCGGGCCTTTCCGGCGGCGG